ATGTCTGTCTGTCTGTCTGTCTGTCTGTCTGTCTGTCTGTCTGTCTGTCTGTCTGTCTGTCTGTCTGTCTGTCTGTCTGTCTGTCTGTCTGTCTGTCTCATTTCAAAGTCTTACAGATTCAGTCCCTTTCTACTAAATGAATAAAAATTTCAAGAGGGAGGTTGATGGCTGCTCCGGTGTGGTTTGCTCTTTCTTTTCTATCAAACATGTATCGTCCTTTCCTCTTCTGCTCCATTTTTCCTGTTTGTTAAGGCTAACACCTCTCATCTTTGGCACTTATATGACCTTATTGTGTTGCAAGTGCTGTAAAACACTTACTAAGACTAAAACCCCACCAAAAATCAAAATGGAACAATTTTAAAAATTCATGAATAGACACATCAACTGTCTATCTCTGGCAAGCTGCTACCAGCGGCTCGCGGTCGAAATCACTGTGCCGGTGAGCAGCTGACAGCAGCTCAGGCACATTCCTTTACTACGAATTCGACATCAAATTACTTTTCGGCTGTTGCCAAAAACAGGTCTCTTTTTTATAGGTAGTTCAATCGTTACATGAAAAACTTATCAAAATAGGATGACTTAATGTGATTTAATGACCCATTTAGTGACATTTTTGTCATTTTTAGATTTAATACCAAAATGGGAGCCCGGCAGGTTGGGTTCACCCCCAACGGAGATAAGGAGTTAAAAAAAAAGAAATTCAAAATGCGGGCACACATTGTAATTTCACAGACCCCGGTCCACCTCATGTCGCGATGCTGTCGTTTTCTCATCACAGAGTTATCTCCCACGGCCCCCGTGCCCTCTCCGTTCAAGGACATCTTCATGAGCGGCAACGTGACCTGGGTGGGTCGCTCGTCCATGGAGTGTACCATGCACATGGAACAGGTACTTCCCTGCCTCAGCATTACAAAGTTTTACCAGACATTTTGGGGCATTTTGAGTTAGGAAGACCACGACTGTGGGTGGTTGGCGGGTGCTGTGGCATGGTTTGCTCCTTCTTTTCTATAAAAAACCTATCGTCTCTGTTTCCCCTTCTTTTTTGTGTGTGTTACTCTCTTGTAACACCTCTAATCTTCGGCACTTATATGACCTTATTGTGTTGCAAGTGCCGTAAAACGCTTACTAAAATTAAAGACCACCATTTCAGAAACGAAATGCTCTGTCTGCTCTATCAAAATCATAACATTATTTGGAGTTGCTGTCAAGATATTCAAAGAATCGCATTTGAAATAACTTGACCATGTTGTAGAACTCAAAATTTTTTAACGTCTCGTTTCTCAAAACTAGGTACCAAGCAGATTTCAATTCTAGGGTAGGGCACTGTCTCAGCCTTGTCGTAAGTCGTCAGTAGGCCTTTTTGTAATGAAGATAATTATTATAATAATGACAACAATAAGATAATGATAAGAATAATTAAATGGTATTATGGATAGTGTATGTAACAATCTTTCTTAGGCTTTGCTGTAATGAAGTAGAAAATGACAGCAATTACATAATGATAATAATGATAATACAATGGGAGGCAGCGTGGTGAAATCAGGCATAATGAAATTGAAGAAATTGTATTTTTCTGCCTGTTTGGCAGTTTTACTAACTGAATTTTTGTTTTTTGGCTCAACACCTTCTTTGTTCATTGAGGAACACATTTCTGTGTGGATTTTTACTGAGAAATGTTGATTAAAGACACAACAAAAATATACATTTTAAGTTTCCACAGACTCTAGATCTATGGAAGTAACCATACTTGCTAATTTTACTTCCAAAACAAGGTGACCCCCATTTATTTCAATCCCAAATAGCTCAACTTGTATTAAGGATAAATGGGTAATTTTTTGTCACCAATAGCAAGACAAATAAACAAGCTTTAAGTTGATACCAATATCTGCACTACCCCAAAAACAGACATTTGCCTGATTCCTGCACATCATGACACAAATGGTAGTATGGATAATGTATTAACAGCCTTGTTGTATTGAAAATAATAATGACAACAACAAGATAATAATAACGATAATGTAATTGTATTGAGGATATTGTTGTTAATATTATACATAATAATGATAGCGATCATAATGATAGTTATAATTACAACAATGATAATGATTGTTATGATGATAATAATGATGATGATGATTATGATGATGATGATGATGGTAATAATAAGAATAACAGTAATAATTGAGAATATTATTGACAAATACAATAACAATAATAACGAGAGATTGCATGAACCTAAGGCGTCTCCCCATCCACTCTCTCCTCAGGAACACAATGGCTCCCTCCAGCACATGATCACCGCCAAGTACCTGTTTGTGGCCAGGAACCCCATGACTAAGAAGTCAGTGATTTTGTGTGTGTGTGTGTGGGAGGGGCTCTGTGGGAGGGAGACTGTGTGTTGGGGACTGTGGGGTGTGTGTTTGTGGGGGACTGTGTGTTGTGTGTTTGTGGGAGTGGGGGACTGTGTTTGAGGGACTGCGTGTATTATGTGTGGGATGTGTGAGGGGCTGTGTGTTGTGTGTGGGATGTGTGGGGGACTGTATGTTGTGTATGGGCATGCGTGTCTGTGTGAATGTATGTAACTATAAAATTTTGTGTCTGTGTGTGTGTGTTTATGTATATGCATGTAACTATGTTTGTGTGTTTGTGTGTGTCTGTGCCTCTGTGTGTGTGTGTGTATGTGTGTGTGTGTGTGTATGTGTGTGTGTGTGTGTGTGTGTGTG